TATTTAGGCTATGTTTTTGTTCTTCAATTAAAATAGAACCAGTTAATATACACTATCAAGATGGACTATTTGATACAACCTATGGTTTACTAAAAATGACAAGGAATCCATACTTAAATTAAAAACAATTAGAGAGCATTACTAATGCATATTTATTAGTGGATGGAGTTGGATCGAATTTCATTAAGAGTCTTTTTAAAAAGGATATGAATTCTTTGATTATATTTGATTGTGAAAAGATGCATTTAAGGAATGCAATCGAGATTTATTAGGCAACTAAAAAATAGATAGATTTGTAATTCTTTGGTACACCCAAAAGACCTCGAAATCCATTCTCAAAATGTAAAGGTCCAAAAGACATATTTAATCTCTATAGACATATATAGAATCAATAAAAGCTTATGCTTTCAAGGATGTGTTTAGTTGTGAGTTATAATGGAGAAGTAAGAATACAAGGTACATTACCTGAATGTGGAGATTTGAAATATCATTTGGAAGAATAACCTGAAAACATCAGTCAAATAGGATATCGCAAATATAACTATTTATTACCTTTTAGTGCATATTAAGGAATTGTAACAGCTTATAATTATGAAAAAGAAGGAGTGGCAATAGAATTTCTAAATTATAAAAAAATCTATGCTTTATATGGTGTATTTCCACCTTCATAAAGATAATATTAAGTCTTGTTTCATTCATATATGCAGAAATTAGTTAAAATACATGATGTGTAATATTGATATCCATTATCTTATAGGACTCATTCTTCTCTTTACAATGTAATTGATTTGGGTTGTGGAACAGGAGTACTTGGTTTCATTGCAAATGATGTTTTATTGAGAAGCTTAAAGGATAAAGAAATTAATATCTATTCATTAGATAACATTGAAAATGCAGTTAAATCTGCAAAAATCAATGCATAATGTTTGGAATATAAGAATTATACAGCAGAATTAGGAGATATCACAGATATTGAGACATTATAGTATTAATTAACAGTTTTTAAGTATGTTATCATTTATTAATTTCTAGATATCCTGCTAAATTTAATTTGATTATTGCTAATCCACCTTGGATTTAAGCATCTAAAATACGTATTGATGATTCAATAGAAAATACAGTAACTGATCCAGAAGGTATAATGTTAAAGTCTGTCTTTGAATTTGCAAATAGATACTTATAAATTGAATCATTGGATTCTACAAAAGGAAGATTGATTTTAATTTATAGTGATCTTTCATAATTATTGGAATTGTAAGAGAAAGAAAAGGTATAAGATTTATGTAGAGAATATAAAATGGCCATTACATATTATTCTGAATTACCATTCCATATTAAAGATCCTTAAAATGTAGATCCTCTCTTACAATATAAATAAAATAGTAAAGTTTAGCTATTTGAGATTCGTAAGATATGATCTATTATAATATATATATATTTAGTTGATTGCTAAGCTATCAATAGTTTATAAAAATAATTATATTAATCATTTATAATATCTTAATAACAAAATATTGATAAATTGGAAATGATTAATTCTATGCTAAATAAAATAAGATATTATATTTAATATGTATACTTTCTTAAATAGTATTTAATACATTTTTAAAAGAAAAATTTAGAATAGGAATTTAAGAGAAATTGAAGAAATAAATAACTATTAAATAATATTATCAATATTAAACAATACTTAAAATACTATTCTATATTCATTTAAAATGATGGCATAGAGACATTGATATTTATATTATTATTTAGAATAGTGTTGATAGAAAAGTAAAAAATAAGATTAAAAAATATTTATATAAAATAGTTCAATTAAATGAGATGAACCTTGAAAATTAATGAATATTATTAGTTTTTAAAGTAACATGACCAAGTGTTTGAATTTTATTTAAATTGTAAATTTATTATAATAGGTTTAACTTAACATTACATAAATAATTTAGAGTAGATAATGATGTAATATGAGTATTAATTATAGTTATTTATTTGTATATATGAATAATAAAAATAATTAAATAGATGAATCATATAAGTTTGGGTTGGTAACAAAATTTGGTTTAAATACTTTCATAATATATTTATAAGTATGAATAGATCAATAATCCAAACCAAAATTTAGATGATATCTTTTAACAATTTATTATAATTTACACTAAAAGAATGTAATAAAAAGAATTTCAGCATATGATGATTAGCTAAAAAATATTGATAATTAGTCAAGAGAGAATGTAATAAGAGTAGTTATTGCAAACTCAGGGTTTTACATTGGATTAGATAAAGGAGTAAAGAGATTAATTGCTTTTAAGACTAGATTAAAGGGAATCAGAGTTATTAAGGATAGAAAAGTTTTTGGAGTCTAGTAATAAAAGATAATAGAATTAAAATTAATTTGAAGATCTTTAAGATGGAATATTGATGTGCAAGGAGAAATGTGTACTTTTATAAGAAGAGAATATAGAGTTTACTAAGATGGCTCATTGTTTAAAATAGCAAAACGATTAATTAAAAAGTCGTTATTCAAAGGTAATATGATAGTTAATAGATTTATAGGTTCGATAGATGTATGATAACAATTTATCCACTTTGAATGAGTTACAATAACATGGTTTGAATATAAATTATCGAATGATGAAATAAATTAAAATAATCAAAGACTTAGGTTAATTAAATCAGAATGTAATGAATTAGAGTAGGAAATCCAAATTAGAGAAATATGTTAGTAATTATTCATAATTGGAGGATACATGTATAAAATAATTAAATTCATTTTGAGCACCTTGAAGATTTGTATAACAATTTTTAAATATAAGAATAAAATATTGATTGTGAAGTGGTAGAAAGCATTTCATAATTAATAACTATCAAAAGAGAATTGGCTTAAATTAATATGAATGATAATAGTTTGAATTCACCTAGATAATAAGACATATAAATAATTGATCCTATATTAACATCAGGAACATTTAGATTTAAAACACATCATAATTTAGGAGAGAAATAAATTAGATAAAGATAGATTTCATAATAAATAGATGATTTAAGGGCTTTTTCTGAATTAAATGAAGATGATGAAGTTAAACAATCATCTTCAGATGAGGATCATAAACATCCTGAATAAATGTCTAATAAATAACCATGGTATTTTAAATCAGCAGTTCCAAATATTAGTAGTAAGAACTCAGAGAAGAAATGGGAAAATTATAGTGAAAAAAAGAAGCATCATAAAAATAAATATTCATTTGCATCTGCATCATCAAATGAAAGTTTTAATAGAATGGGTGTTATGACATTAAAAGAAGAATTTCAAAGCATCTATTAAAGATAACAATTAGATGAAGATATCAAAGAAAAAGATACTGAAATGAATGATAGTGATGAAATACCATAATTAATATAATAAGAATCAATACTTGAAGATTCTACTATTATTATTAATAGGAAATCATAATAATTAAGTAAATCAATAGTTCAAATTGAAAAAATATAAGAACCTGTAAAATCTGATCCTTATAAAAATATCAAGATAGCAGGTGTTTTACTAGCTACTTGTGGAATTGCAGGATGGTTATATAAAAAGTATTTTTGACTTTATATATGATTAATAATTAACAAAAACATTCACTCATCTTTATTTCTATCCAAAAAACTTCTGCTATCATATGATATTTTAGCAAATATAGATTTTTTAGATGTAAATAAATGAGTCAAAAGTAGAATTGCTGCAGTCCTTAAAGATATTGTTCCTATTTCCATTACTTTATGTCTAAGATATCTTGCAACAATCTAAATAGTTATTTTTAATATTTATACCAAATTAACTGTCTAGAGAACTGGAAAACTGATAAAATAGAATCCACCATAGATTCCAAGCATCAATATAAATTATTAAACTGCTCCATTACTCTTTTTATATGTATTAGATAATCCATTAATAAAGTATATGAATTCTCCAATAAATATAAATGATGCTAACCAACCAACCCATCCTTCATAAGAATGATCCTTATAATAAGCATCATAATCAATAAAACCAACTCCTACTATAGTCAATTAAAAAAATGCTATTAATAGTGATAAAGGTAAAAATATTTCAAAATTATCGAATTTAGTAAAATTAATTTACCAACCCCATGATAACATCACTAATATCATTGTTAAAGAGAATTGAGATGCAACCTGTATTAATTATTAAGATTTACCTATACAATAACTGATACTACATGTAAGAATAATACACCTTGTCCATTATAACTGTAAACCCATAAGTGCAATAAATTTACACCATAAGAGACTGTTTCAAGGAAAAGAGTAATAACTAATAAAAACAATGCTAAACTGAATTCCTCATACTTTTCATGTCTTTTTACTATGTAATAACCATTATAAGCTAACATTATTATGTCAACCAAAACTACCACAATCATGAAATATTAAATTCCAAATTATTCAACTGAAAATTCTGTCTTACCAACATTCTTAATATGAATATCCACTTCAAATTTAAGTTTTCTATATTAATCTTCTTTGAATTCATCTCTTAATCTTCGATGACAATCAGATATAGCATAATACCACATATGAGCTCTTACTTTGGCTTTAATACTTCCTGTGAATACTTAAGAATACTCTCCATTTCCAGGTACTTAAATAGTCTCTTTTTTTCTTGCTAATGATGCTCTCTAATTTATTTAGAATTAATTATACTTACTTCACATTCTTGTCTTTCCAATACATCAGGCCATTCTTCATCCAAATACAATTCAAAAAGTATAGGAAATTTACGTTCTCTTAATTCTTCTGTCTCTAATCCAACAATTCTAAATTTGATATGATAAGTGACATCTCCAACTTCAGCTCCAAATTTTGTTAAGTATTCCCAATCAGAAAGCTATCTCATACGATAACTCTTTTAAATTCTCTTTGCTTCACTTATCCACATTAATATTTACAATAGTATCAGAAATTTATACATTTTAATAAATTATTTATATAAGTCATGCTAATCTGTTTAAAATTTACACCAATTAATCCTTATTTTCATATAATACAGAATGTCCACCCTCAATGTATTAGATTGTACGTTTATTCATTTGTATCTTCTTTGATAATGCTACATTATTCACATCCAAAGTCTCATCTTATATGAATGTTTGTAATAAATCAGCCTCAGAAATATTGACTAAACAATTCTTTAAGGAATGGTATACTTAGACACTAAGTATGAGTTTTTGGAATCTTTCCATAAATGAAGGACTTTACAATAAACCTTTATATTTTGAATGTAATATACCTTCTAAAATAATTTATCTGCCTTATTGATTTATTGGATTCTATTGTAAAACACAAGAAAGTAAATCTTCAGAAATTGGTTAAGTATTCATTATTGTATTTGTATATTCAAAAGCAAGTTCTGGCATATCAGCAGGTTGAGATTCAAAGATTTTAATCGATTAAGCAAAGAAACTTCTTAATTAAGGATAAATAGATGTGTATGAATTTACAAAAGTAATCTAACTGAATTAAATTGTATTTTGACATTGTACAACTAAATTAAATTTATAAAATTGTTTACTAAATGCTTATGCATGAAATCCTCCAGAACCTACTCCTAAAATTTTTAATGTATCAGTTTATAAATCAATTTTACCTTTTATAGATAATTCATATAGTATTTAATCTAAGATGCCTGCTATATAGATATTTGTATATGCTTATTTCTTATTGAATAATGTATAGGCTTATCCAGGAGTGTTTAAGAGAAGTATCTTTTTATTTTAGGCATCATTGATTAAATCCACTATGATTGGATAATATCTAAAATTTAATTGATATTAAATACTCAAAAAAGGATTCAAACATATCATGGAGTATGATTATTAAATCTATTCCTGATTGAGAACTCTTTTCTTTCTTCTTAGTTATATTACTCTCAAATAAAGCATATGGAACTGCAGTCTGAGAATCAACTACTAAATACTCTAATTATGTAATATCAAAACAAGGAGGTGGATAATTCATCATCTCACATACTTCTTCTATTTATAATGCTCTTAATTGATCATATTTCAAATCATATGATAATGCTTACATTGGAGTACTTAATTAGAATTGATACAATTTTCTTATGATATCAAAATTAACATGATAATAATAATGAGATGAAGTTGAAAGTAAGATTTATTAAACATTTTCCTATATCTTTTCATTATAATATTCTTTTTATATAGCTCTACATTCCTACTCCTTTTTAGAAGTCTTGGCTAACATTTTCTTTATCTCTTCTGCTCTTCCTTGTAATTCTTTATTTTCCTATTAATTTGTATCTATTCTTCTAACATTAGGTGCTTTCTATTCTGCAAGGAGATATATTAAATTATAAGATTCATTTTTAAACTCTTAAGATTATTCCATTTAACTTGGTTTTTAAAATTATTCCAATTTTTAATAATTCAAATAACCCAATGTTAATCTATTTATTTCAATTTATTTGCTAACATCTCTAAATTTTTGAGGTGATGCTGTTTTTGATGTTCTACTTTCAGGTATAGAAGTAATAAGAAAATTTCTTTTTTAAGTTGGAGCTCTAAATATTCTAAAAGATTTAGTTGATGTAGATGGTTTCATTTATAATTTTTCCTATCTTTTTATAATATTTTCTTCTCTTTTTCTACGTCTTTCAGCTTCTTCATCTATTTATAATGATGGTGTTTTTTTTTCATTTATAAATTAAACTCCATTTTTAATATCTTTTTTAAGTTAAGATTCAAAATGTCTCTATATCATTGAATAGATTATAAAACAATTCTTACAAATTTTAACTGATTTATATAAATTAATTAATGCTTGTACATCTGAATTTTCTTTACTAAATGGATGTTGTTATTCATCTTTAATTTCTGGATGTTCTTCTGGATTATAATTTTCTAAATGAATTTTATATTTTTTAAAAAGTTCTATCACTTCTTTATGATCATCTCTTGTACGTACTATTAATTACAATGAAATTTCATAAGGTAAATTAGTACTCATATTACTAACTGTTTATTTGGACTCTTTAAATACATTCTTATATGTTTCTAATAGACCTTTCCTTAATTGTAAAGGTCCTCTTTAAAATAAAGATAGTAGAAATACTTGTTTTTTTCTATTAATTTATAATTGCAAAAATCCCCTTAACATCTTTCAAGTATTAAATGTTTATATAGAGTTTTACTTAATTTCTTATCTTCTTCTACAATTTAATTTGGATATTTTTTGAATTAATTGTTAGCATTCTTATCCAATCTAAATTATTTACATGCCATCATGAAATTATCAAATTAACCATTACTAGCAATTTCCTCTCTTAAACCCTTTTGATATGGTGCTACATATAAAATTTAAAATGTACCTCCATTATGTATTTAAATAGAGATTTGTTTAATACCAGCAAAATAGATTTGTTCTCTATAATCAACAATGAATTTTGGAGTAAATTTACGTATTTTTACTTTGAATACTTTTTCAATATAGAATGCTATTTTTTTTGTCTCCTTTTAGAAGTAGAAAAATAAATATATACTTCTTAAAAACGTTAATTTAGTGTAGAATTACAATATTTGAACATGGTTTATACTTTCTAAACATCCTATTGTCTGACTGGAATTTAACCACTACTTTGGACAGGCATCAAGAGTGTTTAGAAAGGATTACTGGATTTAGCAGTTGTACTTTTGTTAATTCTTTTGATTGTAAGAGTCTTCTTGAAAAACTTGAAAGTGATTGGAATGAAATCAACATCATAATGGTACTCAACATAGTAAACTTCATCTGCAAACTATTAATCTAGCTACTTTGATTTTCAATGTACTATTGCATGTATGCCAAAGAGGAGAGATCTTTGCCTTCAACAAAAAATTGCAATAACTCTTATCTATTCATAGGTATGCCCTCATTTCTTTTCATCTACAAAAATGCTATTGGATATTCCTTTCAATATTATAAAAGAAAATAGTACCTCTTTGAATTGAGGACACTACTTTGCTTAATCAACCAATTAACTCAAAGTGTCTATCTTAATGTCCTTTGGGAATTTTATACCAAGTAAAGCTTTGGCAATTTCGAGGTTTGAGAGTTTATCAGAATTCTTTTTCATGACCACTTGAGTATTTTTGGGATTGAACAACCATACCTTTGGCATAAGTTTATCAAAGATGATGGTCTATGGTATAAGACATGGCAACTTATTATTCTTTTTAGTACACATTTCATAGAAACCCCATTAAGAAGTTAGTTCTAATTGATCTTCCATAATTATATTAATAAATCAATATCCAAGCAACATAATAATCAAGAATATTGAATACATGATGGTCTCGTAATTAGATACTCCTGGATTTGAACCAATACCTATATTCTTTTGAACATAAACAGCCTAAGAAAATAATAATTAAAATATAATACTCCTGCATATGGTTGTACAGATTATAGACATCTTTTTTCAAAATTGTAAAATCCATATTTGCATATAGCACAACCATTTTAAGTAGTTGGATTTTATTAATTAGTCAAAGTTGATGTAGTATATCCTTCTGCACAATTTGCACTACTCAAAGAAACACAACCTCCATTTTAAAGTACATATCCAGATATACAAGAATTACAAACTTAACCTGGAGCAGAACATGTTGCACATTCAAAAGGACATTTCAAACAATATGAAGTTGTTGCTGTACCTGTATTAATACTAGATAAGAAATATCCATCTAAACACACTTAACATGAACTAGGTGTTTGTGCATTACAAGTAGCACAATTAGCAACTCCACATTATGTACATCCACCACCAGATACATAATATGTTATAGCACATTTAGTACATGTTGGACCAGCTGCACATTAAAGACAATTGACATCACAAGCAGTACATGTTGTAGTAGTACCACTTGAGAAATAATAATTGGCTGCACAAGCACTACAAGCTATTGAATTAGTTGGTGATCCACTGCAAGCAGTACAACCTTAAGGTAATGTATTAGTTAATCCTGCATCACAAGCCAAACATTAAGAATTGGTATACAATTTAGTTTATATAGTACAAGTTGCACATGTATATTGAGTGGCACTAGTAGCTACAATAGTGACACATTGTTATGATTAATTTGATGGTACACAAACTGTTTATGCTAATGTAGTTCCTGAAGCAGGTAAAGTATATAAATAGTATCCATCTTAACATTAAGTTGGTACAACACCATTAAGGGATGAATTTTCAACTGGACCTTAACATCTCAAGAATGAATCTGAAGCTTGAGTACATGGTTTACAAGTAACTATTCCATTAGTATCCTTAACACCAAAATATCTAAAATTATATATT